TGGGGTCAGCCGTCACCTCCTCTCTGAAGCCTGCCTGTTCCTGAGGCTGCACGAGCAGCGTCCCCTGTCCCAAGGCCCTTCTCCCCCACACCCCAGGTCACACACACACACACACACACACACACACACACACACACACACACAGTGGCCCTGGAGACCACCAGCCCTCCATGCAGGCCCGCTGCCGACCCATCAGTAGTGGGAAGTTGGCCTTGTTGAGTCCAGCCCTGCCATTCCAGGGGTCGTCTCTTCCCAAGAGAATCCTTTTGTCGCTCTGCACTGTCTGAGAAGGTGGCTGGCACTACATTCCTGGTACAGTCAGACTCTAAAGCCTAAGGCTAGAACAGAGTGAATCAACTTCATTGTGGTAAGGGATGGAATTCTCTGCTTTGGCTAATTCATTGTAAATCCAGCTAACATCTACCAAGGGTTTGGGGAATCGGGAATTGTTACAAGAACTCTATATTCGTGAAATCATTTGCTCTCCAGGCCTCTAGCAGCATCATTCCTACCTGACCGATGAGAAACCAGAGGCACAGAGAAGCAAATTCTCTTGTCTGAGGTCTCACAGTGCTGCAGGGGTGAAGCCAGGATTTCAACCCAGAGCCCACAAGGGCTCTGTTTCCTAACCATGGCAAGTGCGGGCTGCCCCAAGCTGCAGTTAGCAACAAGAGAGAGGTCTTCAGCAGGTGGGGGGGGCTGTGGCACCCCATAAAGTTGGGGGCAGGGTGGGGGCTGAGACTTGAAGATGTCTCCTGTCCCCAGCTCCTTGCCCTGCCCCCTCTCTCACCCTCACTGTCCGTCCTACTTGCCCTGAGGTGGGCCGCTGGTCCTCTCCAGCCCCTGCCACCTCCTGCCCTGGAGCCAGCCAGCCACGGCTGCAACCTCTGAAACTATGAATCCAACAGATGGCCCCTCCTTTGAGTTTGGGGGGCCAGGTGTTTCGCGCCAGCATTGGTTGGCTGGCATGGTGGGCATGTAGAGGTCCTCACAGGAGGAAGGCAGAGGGCAGAGAGGGCAGGGAGGGCAGGGAGGGAGGTGGGAACAGAAGCAGGGGCTGGAAGGCGCTGTGCTGACAGCTTTGAAGATGGGGAGTGGGGGGTTCTCCAGAGCAGAAGGTGGGGCACCAGCCTCTCCCCCAAGCCTCCAGAAGGAGCATAGCCCTGTCACCACTTAAGTTGAGGACATGTGACTTGCAGGACTGTAGGAGACGAAGTCCGTGTTGTGAAGTCTGAGGCTGTTCTGCCCAGCAGAGGAGAGGCTACAACAATGACCTGGCTTTCTGGGCCTCAGCCGCCTTGTCTGTGAGGCAGGGGCTGTGGGAGACGCAGGCAGGAGGGCACAGGTGCCGGCATGGGCAGGGTCTAGTTTTTAGTCACCTCCAGGCATTCCTGACCTCCGCCCCGGTGACAGCTTGGGGTCAAGGGCAGCTCCTGCTCTCTACCTCACCCTCATGCTGGGGAATCTCCTTCATGTCCTCCTTGGTCCCCACAGACCCAGCTTCTCTGCAGACAACGGCAGATGGCCAGCAGGTGTCACCTGGCCACCTGGCCAGAGCCCAGAGCCCAGGCCACGGGGTGAGAGCCAACCATCACATGGAGGAGGACCACATCTGGTCCCAGCCACCACCCCTCTGCGCAAGGTCTCGACATCCACTTAGCCTGGGGAAGTCCCCAGATGGCCTGGTCCCCATCGGGGTGGGGGCAGCCAACCAGGAAGGCCAGGCTTGCTAGAGAAACCAAGCCCATGCACATGTTCACCTTCTGGGGGTCCTTGTGTCTGCACTCCCATGAGAATTTCTTTAACCAGTGCTAACACGCACTAGCAGTCACCCATCATCCCCAAGTCCTCCCAGTTCCAAAGGATGCATCTTAATTTGTCTAAGTCAATCCTGGAGTCCTGCAGTTCTGGCAAATAAATGGCCTCCAGGCGACCATGTGACCCAGTTCTGGACAATTAAACATGAAGCAAAGTCTGCTGGGAGATGCTGGGAACTCTCTTCCCAGGAAGAGAGAGAAAGAGAGAGGCCAGGAAAAGATCTTTGTCATCTTTCTCCCGCCCTGCTGTACACACTGTCATCTGAGTGGTGATTTCTGGAGCCTCAGCAGCCATCTTGCGACCTTGAGGAGCCTACAGCCAAGACCGAAATACCCACATGTCAAGGGTGGAAAAGAAGACACTTGCAGGCTGTGTTTGTACATTTTAGCTACTGACTTGGCTGAGCAACAGCGCCCAGATGTGTGCTCAAGCACCAGTGGAGATGCTGCTGTGAAGGTATTTTTAGATGTGCATCAACAGAGAGCCAACAGATTGTCCTCTGTGATGTGGGTGGGCCTTGTCTGATCAGTTGACGGCATTAAAAGAGAGAAAAGGAACTCCTTCAGACCCAGACAGCAACAGGAGCTCTTCCTGGGGTCATCCTAGACTCTGTCAGGCTGCCCCACTCCTGCTGTGACGAACTCCTATGGGAGGCCAGGAGGGAAGGGGGACACCTACTTTGTCAGCGCCATAGCTGCCTGAGAAGTGACCCCAGTGCTGATGTGCACAGCGACGGCCTGCATGGTTTCCCATCAGCCCAGAGGGCGGCCACCCTGGCCGGGTTCACACCTGCGCCTGCTTGGTGGGGCTGGGCCAAGATGTGTAGCGGAGCACCACCTACGTGTCCCAGGCGATGCTGGAGTTCTATTTCTTTATTTTGCTACCTATGGAGGAAGTTATGGACACCTGGCAACCTCTGAATAAGGATCAGAGATTGGGTCACATGAGGGTGAGGGTTTCCTGACTGTGGTCCCTGTGCTGTGGTTGAGGTGACAAACGCCCTTATGCCGGGAAACATACGGAAGTGTTTAGGGCTCAGTGGATCCTGCTGTGCTTTAGGCTCAGTGTTTGGGGGGTGCAGGTCACATGCGTGTGCAGAGAGGAAGAAAAAGAGCATGGCAAAGGGACAATGCGTGAGGAGGCTGAGTGAGGGGTGGACACGAGGCCACTGTGCCCTTTGCAATTTCTCTTTAAGCCCCACATTATTTTTTTTTCATACAGGGTCTCACTATGCAGCTCGGACTCACAGTGACCCTCCTGTTTCAGCCTCCCCAGCGCTGGGATTACAGGCATGTACCACCACACTTGGTCTTGAGGGTTGGGTCTGTGTGTCAGGGGAAGGCGGCACTGCATGTGGTGTGAGGGATTCAAGCAGGGTCCTTGCACTGGGAGATTCTGGGAACTCTCTTCCTAGGAAAAGAGAGAAAGAGAGAGTACTAAATAAATAGACAGGGGCCAGGGTGGTGCACATTTGTGATCCCTGCACTCAGGAGGCAGAGGCAGGAGGCTTGCTGTGGGTTTGAAGCCAGCCTATCTCAAAAAACAAAAGAAAATCCTGAGGAAGGGAAGGGAGGGAGTCAGGAAAAAAAGACAGCAGGGAGAGAAAGAGGCAGGCAGGCAGGCAGGCAGGGAGGGAGGGAGGGAGTCAGCCTTGTCGCCCTCCTTCTGCCCTTGCAGAAGGCCCTTGCTTGGGCCGACCACTATGCGCCTCCACTGCGGCAGATGAGGCCCGGGCTCCAGGCGGGCTTTAGCTTTCCACTGCCTCAGGGCTTTGAATAAGCACCTTGAGGCTCTTGTGTCTTGGTTTCCACCTGAGTAAAATGGGCACAAGAACACCACACGGCCCGCAGGATGGGTGCAGCAGGGAGCGCGGCAAGGGCTGTGTCCAGCCCAGGGTCGATGCTTGGCAATCACTAGCTGTCTGCACGACTGTCACCACCACTGCTAGGGTTCCCTTAAGATCCTCAGCTTCCAGGCTTATGGCTCACGCCCCAACCCAGCCCCTCGGGAGGCTGAGGCAGAAGGAGAGCAGATTCAAGCCCAACTTGGGCAACCTAGCATGTTAGCAAGATCCTGTCTCAAAATAAAAAATAAGAAAACCAGGGTTGGGGATGTAGCCCAGCATGAAGGTCCTAGGTTCAATACCTAGTACTAAATAAATAGGCAGGGGGCCGGGGAGATAGCTCAATGGCCTAAGCACCTGCCTGGCAAGCACATGGTCCTGAGTTCGAGTCCCAGCACCAAAACAAACAAAAGGAATTCCACCAGGTGTGACAGTGCACCCCAGTTAATCCCAGCTATTTGATACTGAGGCAGCAATATTATAAATTCAAGCCCAATGTTGGCAATTTGGGGACAGCCTGTCACAAAATAAAATGAAAAGAAGGGCCAGGGCGTAGCTCAGTGGTAGAGCGCTTGCCTAGCATAGGTAAGCACCTCATGCTAAATGCAATAAGCCAGTCCCAAAAGGACAAACACCCTGACTCCACTGCGTGCGCGGTACTGGAGTAGCCGACCTCGGAGCCAGAGAACAGGCAGGGCTGAGAGGGGCGAGGGAGCGACTGCTCAGTGTTGGGGGTGGGAAAGTTCCGGAGACCAACTTCGAAACGGTGGGACTGCGCTCAACCCGCTGAGCTGTAACTTAGACGTCATCAACATGGGAAAGAGAAACTTTTTGCCACAATTAAAAAAAAAAAAAAGTTTATACAAAAATAATCTGGAGGGGCTGGGGAGATGGCTCAGTAGAATAAGCGTTTCCCTGGCAAGTGCAAGGGCCTGAGTTCGCTCCCCGGTTCCTCAAAAAAAGTAATAATAATAATAATAATTAATAATAATAATAATAATAATAATAATAATAATAATAATCTGGAGAGCCCCCCAGTGTGACAAGGGACTAAAGTCGGCCGCCAGGGGGCGCTCTGCGCTCATACCCACCTAGCGCTGCAACTCGTACAGGGGAGAAAGTCAGGATCCACGAAGAACGAGACACAGGCGTTCCAGGTGGGGGACCCGCGGGCTGGGGGAGAAAGCAGCAGCGAGAAGCGCCCACCCCGACATAACATCAGGGAGGAGGGAAATTGAGGTCCGGGAAGGCGCAGGAACAGCGTCCTGAAAACGGTTCGTGGCCTGAGTCACCCAGGTACAAACCTTCGAGGCCAACCGGACCGGAGTTTCAGGCTCAGGCTACTCACCGTGCATCAGGACCCGGGTGGGCCTCCGCTTCCTCTTCTGTAATGTCTGGACCAACACCAGCTGCGGTTGCTGGAAGATTCGAGTGCGTTGTAAAATACCTGCTGCGGGAGGCTGAGGCGGGAAGGTCAGGAGTTAGAGCGTGGCCTGGGCAACTTAGTCACAAAATAAAAACATACAAAGAGGGTAGAGGATGGAGCTCAGTGGGAAGGCCCTGGGTAAATCCCCAGTACTGGGGGCAAATTGGTACCTGGAAAGCCCTCGATGAAGGGGCTGATCACTATCCCACTCCCCGTAGGTATCACATGCCCAGACTGGCCCCTCTCCTGGCAGCTTTTCTACATTGGCGTCCTCTCTTGAGTGCACAGTCTCTTACTAAGCTCTCCGGAGGGACCCCACGATGTTCCCCAGGCTGCAGCTCAGAGAAAAGTTAAATCGAATCAAGGAAGCTGGCATCTTGTGGCCCTCTGGGAAAGGTGTGGAGCAGGTAGCTGGAAGGAACAGCATCGGGATTCGGCCCCTTGGCCCCCCGACGCTCCTCCGGCCTCTTGCTCCCTCCTTAAGCCTCTCTGCCACTCCTCCCTGTCAGCTCCAGGATACAAGTCTATGTGCCCTCCATCCTCCAGCCCACTGCCCTCCTTGCCATTCCTAGAGAGCCCAAGACTCTCCTGCCAACCACACACCCCTTGCATGGGCAGGGTCTGCCCCCAGCATACGTTCTCCCATCTAACTTCCCTTCTTCCAACCCAGACTCCAAGGTCGCTTCAGTGGCACCTGCCCTGCCCTCCCTGCCTGTGCCTCCCGTTGTCCTCTCCAGCTGCCTCCCACCCCTCTCCCTCCATTTTTTTTTATTTGTGTGTGTGTGTGTGTGTGTGTGTGTGTGGCCAGCTCAGCCCACCAGGGGGTGGGGCTGGCTGGCATGTGGTGCTGGGGGATTGAACCGCGGTCCCTGTGATTTGCTAAACTTGTTCTAAGTAGGTGCTTTAGACCACTGAGCCATCTCACCAGCCCCTCCATTTTTTTCTTTAATCTTGGTTCACAAAAGTGAGTCAGTCATGCCCCTTGCCTCCACCCCTCTCACGGTGGGTGGCTTTACTGCTTGCATCTGGAACATGGTGTGACACTTCAGCATGGGAATTAAATCATAGTTTATTTACTTGAACTGTTTCCCGATTTTGCCCACTGTAAGCAGCTGCTCTGGACTCTCTTTTCTTCTTCTTTTCTTTGTAGCAAAGTTGGCCCCTGGGCCTTTGCACTGAGTTACCTCCTTACCGCCTATTAAAATTCTTTAGTTTGAGACAGGAGCTCACTAAGTCATTAGGTTGCCCCAGATGGGCTCAAATGTGATCCTCCTGCTTCAGCCTCTCAAAGACATTCTGGGAATGGGCTACAGTTTATCCACGGGGCACGCAATGGGCCAGAACCGCCAGGTCGCAGGATACCTGCACACTTAACTATGTGAAGACAGGCAGACCCTCTGAGGCCCAGGGCTTGATACTTCCCAGGACATATAGAGTTCCCAATACAGCCTGTGCACATACAGAATATATACATGTTGGGCAAGGTTTTGTCTGTATCACTATAACCCTAGTGCCTGGAACAGGTTTCAGCACATAGTAGGTGCTTGATAAATGTCTTTTGTCTGGATGAACAAGCCGGTGGCTCAAAATAGGCCATGAGAGCTCACAGTATGGAGCTGGCCTGGCCCCATCCTCCTGCACTTTCCACTCCTCAAATACACAACAAGACTGAAGCCCAGGACACCTGGACCCCAGGAAGTCCCCAGTTTTCAGCAAGAGGGCAAGTCACCGCTGGGCTTCACCCCGGGTTCTGCAATAAGATGGGAGGCCAGAGCTCTTTGGGGAGGGGACCCCACAGAGCTCGGCCTTGAGCAGGGCCTCTGCTTCCCCTCTCTGGCTCTGCCTACCCTTCAGGGCCCTGTCTAACTGGGCGGAGGCTGGGTGCACAATGCGTGTTCATGAAGCCTGGCTTACTGGGGCTTTTCCAAGCATAAGCCATAGCACATGAGGCCCTCCTATAGCCCCCAACTCTTGGGGTGAAACCCAGACCTCCCCAGGGGCTCAAGAGGCCACACAGCAGCCTTGCCCTCCTCTGCTGCCCCATGCCCCCTAACTCCCTCCTGAATGCTCAGGGCCTGTGGTGACTTCCTGAGAGGGCTTCACAGGGGCCCAGATCTCTCATCCTCACCCTGCCATGGGCAGTGTCATGTGGGTCTGGTCACTTGTGTCTCTTCCCTTGAGCACCGAGGCCTGGGTAGCAGGTGCCATGCTGTGTGGGTTCTGATTGGGACCCCATCTATTGCCCAGGGTCAGAGGGTGGATGGACAGACAGACAGACAGACAGACAGACAGACAGACAGACGAATGCACAGCCGGATGGATGGGAGAAGGGCAGGAAAAGAGGAAAGGAAGGAGGACAGGCAGGCAGGCAGGCAGACAGACACAGACAGACAGACAGACCTACAAACTAAGTTCGTCTCTTCCTGCCATGAATCCCACTGCCATGATAATGGTACACTTGAGCACCTGGCCAGTGTGTCCTCCCTGTGGCACTAGGCACTGTGACATGGTGCCCCAAAGCCCCTAGACAGCTCCTCCCTATGACGATCATGGGCCAAGGGACATCAGTGAATGTGAGTGAACCCACCGATGACCCCAGGGCTGGCGAAGACCCTGCAGGCCTCATGGGCAGGCTGAGCAAGCGTGACTGACCAGCCCCTAGGAGCTCCACAGCCCAGCCGAGGTGGCCACAGGTACTAGGTGCTCAGCTAGCTGCTGTTCATTAGTCAGTCAACGAACCCTGAGGCAGCATGGCGCTGTGGGAGGTTCTCAGGGTTTCTGTGTTGGCCGTGTGTAAAATGACAGCAGTGCTACCTACCTCGTGGGGTGGTTGTGGCGAGGACTGAGCATTACATAAGCGCCTGGCACATAATAGACGCTCAGGAAACGACATCCGTTATGTAAGGAGCACCAGTCACACAGAGCCGAGTGTGGCACAGTCCCGATCTCATGAACGTCACTCTGTAGTGGGGACGGATTGAAGTAGCTGCTTGTGATGCAGGATGTCAGAGCAGGCTGTGCATAAAGGAACGCAGAGGGGAGGGGCTGGCTCAGGGAAGGCTGCCTGGAGGAGGTGACAGGTGCCCAGACCTCATCAGCACACAGCAGGAAGTCCAAGACTTGGGACTTTACTTCTCACTGCTGCCCACCCCCTCCCCTGGCCCCTCTGAGCGCTCCTGTCACAGAAGGTTCCTGGGCACCAGCTCTAAACCCCTCACGGTCGCCGTCATCTCCCTTTGAGAAGCAGCTGCCCCAGTCTGCCAACCCCCATGCAGCCTCCGTCTCCCCTAGTCTGAACACCATAGGCTGGGGGGGGCTGTCCCCCTCTCAGCTAGAGATATTGCCCCACTGACACTTGAGCTGCTGCCCCTGCCGCCCCTGGTTTCCGTCCAACCTACAGCCCTCCCAGCATTTATTGAGCACCTACTGTCCGCAGGCAGCTGTGAAGGGAAGTGTCTTCCTTCAAGGCCCGCTCCCTGGGGAAGCGTGGTCTGTGGGGCCCTCACCTAGAGCAAGGCAGGGGGGAGCGGGCTCAGAGTGGGCAGCTGGCTGGCTGCCCCCGGACCCAGACCCTGGCTCTGTCTTGGCACCCTTGAGACTGCAGTCTTCCTATCTGTGCGCTTTGGAATCCATGCTCCTCGGGCTCTGAAACTGGCCTTCCCAGGCCGTGCCACAGGGAGCAGACGGGGGCGCACCCGTGTCTTTCCAGAGCCTTCTCACAGTAATACATCCAAGCATTTATTGAGTACCCAGGGTGTGCAAGGCCCTGGACTGGGCGGCGAGCTTGCAAAGATGACTGAGATTCAAGCAGGTGACCCCTAAACACTCTCTGCCTCGCGCTGCGCCTGGGTAGGGGACTTCGCGCTCTCCCGTGAGGCCCAACCGAGGATGAGGCGCCCAGAACTCGCGTGTCTCGCGTCGGAGCGCCTCTGTCTCCTCCCCTTCCTCCCCTCCCCCTCCTTCTTCTGGTCCCTTCCCCTCCCCCACACACTCCCCCCTCCGCGGGATCCCGGCGCCCGCGGCCCTGCGTGCGTCCTCATCCTCCCGTCGGTGGCAGGGCTGAGTGGCGGGCGCGGCGGGGACAGCAGGGCGCGGAGGCGGGACCGCGGCTCCCCCCCGCCCCGGAGCCAGGCGGCGGCGCGCGCGATCGCGAGCGGAGACGGAGCCGGCGCGAGAGAGGCGGTGAGGCTCGGCGGGGCGCGGGGGACCCCACCCCGGAGCCCGTGGGTCCCGCGGGTGGGCTGGGAGGCGCCGCCACCTCCAAGCGGGATCTCGCGCTACCTAGCTTGGCCCCTCAGATCGCGACCCCCGAGGGCGCCGGGCCGCGCCCGCACCCCGCATCCCGTGCGCCCCGCAGCCCCGCGCGCCCCGAATCCCGCAGCCCGGCTGGGCGCGGGCCCTGGGGGCGGAAGCTAGGGCTGCGGAGGGGGCGCCGTGGCCAGAAGCTAGGCACCCGTAACCTCCAGCCCCGATCCCGCCGCAGGGAGCGAGGGCAGGGTCCCCCAGGTCCCCTCGCCGCCCCCCATCGGTCCCCATTGTTCTCAGCTGAGCCGAGGTTCTCCTGGGAAGGGGGAGGGGGCGCCGCGCTCACCTCTTAAAGGGCCCTCTCCCCTCTGCCTCCCGCAGGTCGCGAGCGCGAGTGGGGTGGGGCGTGCCCGCGGGCCCCCGCCCCCCTCGGCCCGGTGGTCCCCTGCCCCGCAGCCCCCGCGCGCAGCACACCTTCCCTGAGCCTCTGCGACCACCCAGGCCTCCTAGGACGCCCTGGAGAGGGGACAGGGATCCAGGCCGCCCCTGGAGCCGCCGTCGAGAGAGGCGGCCCAAGACTGGGACAGCCTCCCCACGGAAGCCGGCACAGTCTGGTCACAGCCAGGCGCGCAGGGGCTGCTGAGCCCGCAGAGGGGGCAGGGCTGGGCCCGGGCCTCTTGGTGACAGACGCTGCGTGACAGAGGACCGGAGGCCGGCAGGGAGGAAGCCAACTCAGATCGGAGACAGCGGTCTCACCTGCGCGAGGGGACCTGCGAATTGAGAGCCGCTCCTAAGAAAGACCCGGCTCCTCTCCACAGCTCTGCCCTGGAGGGGTCCTGGGAGCCCAGCCACTAGCTCTCAGGCCCTGAACCCAGGCCTCTAGGCCTTAAAGAGGAGCCCCAGCCCCCTGCTGAGAAGGGAGGAAGTTCCCTGCCGCCGACCTCAGGCCCAGGAGGACCTGGGCCAGCCAGCGTGGGGACCTGGCCCCGGAGACAGCAGCGGCCATGTCACGGCCAGGCCAGGGCGCGATGCTGCCGGTGGCTGGGCTGGGCTTCCCGCCGCAGAACGTGGCCCGGGTGGTGGTGTGGGAGTGGCTGAACGAGCACAGCCGCTGGCGGCCCTACACGGCCACCGTGTGTCACCACATCGAGAATGTGCTCAAGGAGGATGCCAGGGGGTCCGTGGTCCTGGGCCAGGTGGACGCCCAGCTAGTGCCCTACATCATCGACCTGCAGTCCATGCACCAGTTCCGCCAGGACACAGGTGAGCAGAACCCCACCCCGCATCGCAGACTTCCCCTCTCCCCGGGTCCCTGGAGGGGAGAGAGCCAGCTGGGGCTGCAGAAGCCCAAATCTATTGACCCAGCCTCTCTCCCTCCCCCTGCCCTGGGAAAAGGGACAGACTAGAATGTCTAGTTGAATACTTGGGTTCCAGTCCAGCCTCTTAGTTATCTGTGGGACTTCGGACAGGGTGCCTCAGGTCTCCGAGACTCAGTTTCTGCATCTGCAAAATGGGTCAGTGTCAATTAGTATCAAGATTGATATCTCTGCCAGCCGCCTGAAGATTAAAGCAAATGGGCTGGCTAGGTACAGAAACAGAAAACTTTGCACCCTGTTATCAAAGAGTACAGGCTCTATTTACTGTTTCTTCCTCTTTCCCAACATTGCCAGGCAGTATATTGTATTATAGTAATAGTACCACTAGTCCCATTTGACAGATGGAAAAACTGAGTGTCCTGGAAGCTGTGTGATGTCACCTCAGACCTGTGATTGAAACCCAGGCAGCTGAACTGCAGAGCAAAAGCTCATCCCTGGCATGGCGTACTGGATGCAGGTGTTGGGGTGTTGGAAAGAAGTGGCAGTTAATTGTTAGAGGATTGATGGTAGTGGTGGGCAGTAATGATAGTGGTGGTCATGTTGTTGCCTCAGTGGTAGTACTGAGGCTGGCATTGTGGTGCTGGTGGCAGTGTGGTGGGGGCTCTGATGGTGGATCTGGTTATGGTGGCCACGTTTATGGTTGTGCTGGTGGTGGCCCTGGGAGGGGTGTGTCATGTAGTGATGGCTCAGGAGGGCTGACATCCTGGTTACCAAGTGAGTGTGCTGCCTGGTGGTGACACTGAGACCATCTCAGCAATGTAATGGTGGTGATCATTGTGTTGTTGGTGACCTGGTAGGTGACTGCGTTGATCATGATCTGGGGTTTTGCCACGCAGTGGTAGAGGGCTCCCTGATTCCTGCCTGTGGCCTCAGTAATAGGCTGGGTGGCAGCGATGTGGTCCTTACCATGCTCAGCCCCCCAGGGAGCAGCTGATGAGGCTTTGAGGAAGTTTCTGTGAATCTCTGAGCGGCAGAACTGATGGAATAACCTTGGGGACGGAAGGGTGCCTCCTTCCTCTCTAGAGCTGTGTTCCCCCACGTGACAGCCACTAAGCACTTGTGGGTGTTGAAGTTTATGTTAGTTCACCATCGGAAAAGCCAGAAAGTCAACTTGTGGGCAGCACTAGCCTCCTTTCGGTGCTCGCGGTAGGATGGGACGGTGTAGATCCAGAAATTTTCATCATTGCTAAAACTTCTGCTGGGCGTCCCCACTCTCGAGCATCATGTGACTCCTGCAGAGTGCCCAACGAGTCTGGACACACAGGCGAGCTCATGAGCTGTCGCTCGATGACCCAACGTCTCTGCACATCTTTGTCCCCCTGATTCCAGGCATTGGCCAGCACGAGTCAGGCCCAGCACTGATGTAGTCCATCAGCCAGGGATTTAGCTACCTCCTGCTGCATGTCAGACTCTGTATGAAGCCCTGGGGCCCGTAGGGAAACCAGCCACAAAGATCTCCGAGTGGCTGGAGAGCAGGCACATGATCACATGGGACTCAGTCATTAGGCCTGAGGGTGTGTGATAAGTCAGGGGAACCGATCTGAAGAGATCTGAAGGTGAGCGAGGAAAGCCCCAGTTCCAGGTGGAGGAGCAGCCATGCAAAGGTCCTGGGCTGGGAAGAAGCTGGGAACATTCAAGTCCACAGTGCCTGGAGAGCAGTGAGCAAGGGGAAAATGGAGCAGGGAGGGTTGGAGCAAGAAGCTGGACTGTGTGGAGGAAACAGGACAGTGGCCCGCAGCCCTCATGCACAGTATTCCAGAGGAGCCCTGGAGGGGGCTGGGAAGTGCTGACCTGGTCCCCAGGCCATGCCAGAGCTGGAGGGCAGGGCCCGGCAGCACAAAGGGGTGGCTTGGCATTCTGCAGTTCAGAGCTCATGCAAGCCCTGGGTCCGGGTCCCCCGGAGGCCCAGCCCGTCGCCTCCCTGCCCCTCCAACTGCTGTGCACTCCACACCTGCCCCTGTTTGCCAGGAAAGGGAAAAAGCCAGTCATCTCTCTACAGGCTCCTGGATGCCTGCCAAGACCCCTGTTGCGGGGGAGGCCTGGAAACCCAGGGGCAGCGGGCCTGGAATGCCCTGGAATGTCTAGGGAAGAGGCTGCAGCAGTCCGCCCACTCCCGCGGGTCAGAATGGTGTCCAGAAGGGGACTTTGCTCTCATTACTCCTGAGTCCGGGTCAGCCTGGACTCATAGTCCATCAGGGAGCAGCGCTGAGAACCAAGCTCCCTGCTGCGATGAGCGGCTGTGTGAGATGGGCAGGGTGCCTCAGTTTCCCGGTCTGTGAAGTGGGCATGAACATTGCTTCACTAGCAGTGGGGCTGGATTGCTAGAGAAAATCAGGCCTATTTTATCCCCAAACAATAACAAATCCCCTACTATGTACCCAGTATGTGTGCATACTGTGGGTGCGTGAGGGATGAGAAAGATGCTAAACCAGACCTGATGTGCTAGCGACCACCTGTGACCCAGCACTTGGGCGGCTGAGGCAGGAGAATTGCAGCAAGTAGCAAGTTCCAGGCCAGCCTGGGCTACGTAGCAAAACCCTGTCTCAAAAAAAAAAAAAAAAAAAAGACAGAGATATTAAACCTTAATGAGTTTGTCACACACACACACACACACACACACACACACACACACACACCCCTTCAAAACCCAAAACTCGCGCATAGGCGCTGAAATCAACCGAATTTCTGTCTAGAGTTGCTCACTGTCCAAGCGCTCTGTAGGCTTGTTGAGGTAAACTTTCATCTGCAGGGAGGGAGAGAGCAGCCTGGCCTGGTTTTCCTGGCACCCTAATGCAGGAGGAGCTGGCAGGCTTTCCTGCCAGGGCAGATGGTAAATCTTTTAGATCTCCCCACCCTGCGCTGTCCTTGGGAATACAGCCCCAGACAGCATGCAAATGAACGCAGGCGGCTGTGCGCTGGGAAAACTACTTGTGGAAGCCGAGAAATTTGAAATTTTTATTGAAATCTGTATCATATTCACGGCCCGTGAAATATTCTTTTTTTCAACTATTGAAAATATAGACAGCCAGTCTTAGTTCCCAAGCCCTGCACAGCAGGTGGTGGGTGGATCTAGTCCCCTGCCCTGACATTCTCTTCACCTGCCCAGCAACATGAACACATACCTCTGGGTGCATGCCAGAGTGCACGTGCATGCACATACACGTGCACACACACACACACACACACACACACACACACACACACAGAGCTCAGCCTGCATTTTCACAGCTGACAAGCAAGGGTCCTAAGCGCAGCCAGACAAAGGTCAGAGGTCGCACAGGTGCCTGGCTCAGGCTGCCAGGGAGGGAGGTGCTGTTTGTTCAGCTGCTGCCCCTCCCCTTTCCCCTGCTGGGTTGTTTGCTCTGCGCCCCATGGGTTTGAGGTTCCCCCTTAAAGCCCTCTAGGGTGGAACCCCTCCCCCACCACACATGCCCTGGAACGCTATCCTGGCAGCTGGAGGGTACGGCAGAGGTGGCCAGGGGTAGGTGTGCCTCACAAGTTTTCATCTATCTCCAAGCTTTGCTTCTTGTCCTTTGTCACTGTTCCATGTGCCCCATGCTGAAGGCAAGCCAGGGCAAGGGCCTTGCCAGGCAGACCCAGCAGCTGGCTGCTGAGCCGGGACACAAAGTGGTCAAGATCCTGGGGTGAGGGTGCTGCTCCCACCAGCAGCAGAGAAAAGCTTGGGGCATGCTTTCTGCCCCACCCGCAGGCCTCAATTTCCCTTTCAGCCATTGCATTTCGGCTGCAGGGACAGTGCCTTCAGAGGGCCTCATCTAGGCCACACAGATGGGCAGAGGGGTGACGCAGCCCTGACCCACTGCTCCCAGATCACTCCTGGCTCCTGTTTCCAGGGACAGGGGAGGGCACCTCTGCCCAGTGCAAACTTATGCCTGTTCGGTAGATAGGGAGCTGAGGCCTGGGGAGGCCAGGCTGGGCGCCCTCCTCTAATGCCAGGCCAGAGGCCCCAGCCAGGCTGTGTCTGCGCTGGTCCCAGCAGCCAGACTCAGTGACAGGGGAGCATCCTGAAGGCTCCACTCAGCCCTGACCTCTGCCCTTGCAGAAGGTCCAGTCTGAGGACACTTGGGCTGCCAGAGAACAGACACAGCCAGCTGGTGAGGAGAAGCCACCCTCCCCAGGGAAAGCGCTTTCTCCAGAATTTAGACTCCAAAAGGGGCTCTAGGCCCGGAGAGGCTCAGTGACTCACCCAAGGTCACATAGCCCGGAGTCCCAAGCTGGAACCGGGACTTCCAGACAGGCCCAAGCATAGAAAACAAGACGATGACACTGAATGCCTCGCTCAGCACGGCTCCTCCCCCTTCTCCCTTGAGGGCTCCCCCTGGGACTTGTTGTCAGGGTCTGCACCCAGGCAGAGACAGTCAGGTCACCCTGGAGGAATCAGGGCCCAGCTCCCTGGTTACAGGGACCCCAGGGACTCCATGATGCAACGCCAAGAAGAGCCACATGCTTGGGGGCAGGGAAGGCCTGTGGTGTGGCGACAGTGGGTCTTGTGATACCATAAATCTATTAACATTTTTATTGAAGTCACTGGTGCCTGCTCAGTACCAGGCCCTGAGGTGGGGCGTGGGCCTTAGAGAGAAGAGCAAAATCAATTTCAGAGTCCAATCAACCATTATCAAATTTGTTTCGGGAGTCTAGAGGAGGTAAAGGTAGCAACGTGGGTGGTGGGGTCGGGCTCTCAGAGGACTTCCTGTTGGCGGAGGCCTCTGGGAATGTAGTGTGGAGCCCCAGAAGTCTATGAGGCTCTTCCAGGTGGGCGCATCAGCACCGAACTGCGGACAGAGGAGGCTGTGCGGAAGGCGGGCGAGGGAAAGAGGCCTCCTGGGGCCTGCGGGGAGGTGGAGAGGGTTGCCAGCTGCTGCCCTTTAG